AGCTTCTGAGGCTTAGAAAATCCTTCCCCAAATAGCTAATTTGGAAATGAATGTAAATAGCCTTGAGATTGGTCTTGGCACCCTGCTAAAGACTACTTGTTAACTGGACTGTTTTTGTGGAGTTCTGTTTTCAAAAAGCTTCCTTCTCAGCCGTGCTTTCTCTTTGGGAGGGCTGATATCGCAGTATTTCATGCTCCAAAAAATGCTTTCAAAAGTCATACAGTTTTGGGGGCAGCCGTTCTTCCCCCAAGGAAAACCCCAAAGGCCTTCTTTCTAATGCCCAATTTGCATTTCCTGATCTAATCCAGGAATTCAAAAGTACAGGTAGTCCCCAGCTTAAGAACAAGTTCTGTTCCCAAGCTGGATCCAGCTCCCAATTGGACTTATGTAGAGGTTAAAAGATCATCTTGGCTCCATGAATGGAAAAACCTTCCTTTTGCTGTTTCTTCCCACCCTCCCGCCCAACCTGGTGTCCTGGGAAAAAAGTGATCATGCCAGCAGCCGCCCGTGTGACAACTTCATGTGGACTGGTTGGTGCAGAACCGTCTGCAGGATTCAGTACTTCTGTCAAAATGACAAAGGCAACATTACAGCATCCTCACACAAGCTCCGCCTCATTTATACGAGTGTGCGATATTATGATGAACATACCACAGGGGTGGCGTTTACATTACGTTGGCACTGGCACGATTTTTGTCCGTTTGCCCCTGCCCTCCCTCCGTGGACACTGTCGGGCTTGTATTTGTGTATAGTCCCCCCTCCCCCAGCTGAATAACGGAACTTGTTATTTTACTTGCAGGTTGTTTCTTGTTATAGAATATGTGAATGGGGGTGACCTCATGTTTCATATGCAACGGCAAAGAAAACTCCCAGAAGAACACGCAAGGTATAGTGATCCTTTGATCTAAGTCTCTCTTTCTCTCTGTGGTGGAATCAGTCTAGCTCTCTTAAAAGCAGGCGATGCCAGCCAAAACGTTTTCTAATTTTCCTTATTTTTTTTCTTCCTTAGCATACACAGTGCTAATCTCGCAACTGCAGAGACGGGATTGCTCTCCTTTGTCCTCTGCTGCTCTGTCTCTGTGGCATACTGCCTTTTATTTGGTTTAAATATAGCCAAGTTATTGCTGTGAGCACATCTGAAGACAGTTTCCTAGCATATATGCAGTCTAATAGTTAACGTCAGTTCCTTGGAAGCTATTTATTTATTTTTATAGTGGAATCTTGTGGTGTTTTAATTGTATTTTCATGAATGCTTATTCTATTTTAATTACTGTTTATTCTTTTTATTGTAAATCGCCCAGAGTCGCTCTACAGTGAGATGGATGGTGACAAATTTGAAATATAAATAAATAAATAAATATAAGAAGGTAGCAAGAGATTACTATGTCTTATTTTAAGTGTGATCAAAGGCATATTATCTCACATTAGCATAGAGGAATGAGGCAGGTTTACTGTACAGTACTCGGAGAATGCCTGTATTCTAGCTGGGCTAGAAAATGTGAGTGTATTAGTATGCATGCTGTCCAGAGAAGGTTGGTTATGTGGGGACATTGAAAGCCTGCAAACAAATGAAATTAATAGCAGCTGTTAAATGGCCCTGCTGCTAACGGAGCGAAATTACATTTTCCTTTAAGGTTTTATGCTGCTGAAATCTGTATTGCTCTCAACTTCCTCCATGAGAGAGGCATCATCTACAGAGATTTAAAACTGGATAATGTTCTCCTGGATACAGAGGGTCATATCAAGCTAACAGACTATGGCATGTGTAAGGTAAATTTGCTTTCCAGATTAATAGATCCTCTTGACATTTCTCCCTGAGGATCAGAATCTGATTATGCGTGGGGCAAGTCCGAAGATTCACTTCTTCCTTTTCTGGAATCAAAAGAGCTCATCCTTCCCGTTTGCCTCACTGAAGAGATTCTCACTCTGGTATTGAAAGGAGTCTCCTCTGTTGGGGAGCCGACGGACAGGAGAGGTTCCCTGTTCTTTAGAGTGTGATGGAAGATGAAGAGAAGAAAATTGGCCCAGATTGGAAGGAGACTTATAGAATATTGACGAGGACAGAGAGGGTCCATAGTTAGTCAAGGACAAGTCCTATATATGACTTCAAGGACAAAAAAGGATAACCAGAGCATCAGGGACACCATTGCCATGCTTCTAGCAACTGTATTTTTACTGTATAGTTGAGTTAGTAATGTTGCTTAGTTCCTGAGAGCTGTAAGATGACCTGAATTAACAAGGGGTGTATTTCTAAACCCTGAAAGGGTAGATTTTGGCAGGCTTTGGGGTGTCCCCTGTTAAGCCTGAAGGGGAACTCCTGCAAGCCATTTTTCTCTTTCATAGATGCACTGCAGTGTTTCATTTTTGTAGGAAGGATTGGGCCCTGGTGATACTACAAGCACTTTCTGTGGAACGCCAAATTACATTGCCCCGGAGATCCTCCGAGGAGAAGAATATGGTGAGTTGCTATATAGAGCGTGTAATTATGTAGTGACTGCAGAGCATTAGTGTTCTAATCTAGAGCGATTACGGATGTGCTGCTTATTTATGTTAATATTTTTATGCCATTAAGCAGAGGTCAGACTAAAGGGAAGAATCTGTGCATTCCTTATTATGCTGAGCAGAAAACAGTTGAGTAGTGTTGAAAATGTGCTTCATGGAGAAGAATGGAGAAACTGGCCCTCATCTGTACTTAGTGATGGAGGTCAGGTGGTCGTTTGCTTCAAGGCACCCTTGAATCAATTTTGAGGGAACCTCAAATAATGAACTTTGGAACATTGGTCAGTGTTGTTGAATGTCCTTGTCAGATGAATTATTGCTCACTAAGCCTAATCGTATTTTATGGAATTTCATACAGTTGCTATCACATTTTCATTGTAAAAGGCTTCAGAGATAAAGCGCTTCTGTATTTAATTCCATTGTATGGAGTACATCACATCCCCTTTTGTATGTATTCTTTTTGGATGTTCTAGAAAATGTCCTTTCACAAGCCAAACTTGAGTGTTGGAAAGCGGGATTAGAAATTTGGTCTGGGGCACTTCTAATAGCCACAATGCTTATGGCATTAACATTTGCTGTTGTGTTTAAATTTTTAGCAGTTAATAATTCCAGAAATCCTTAATTTTATCCTGTTACTTTGATCCAATTGTTCATTGCATTGTTGCAAAGTAACAGCCCAGGGAATCTGAATTAATTTTTTGTCCTGAGTGTTTGTATGCGTTTGCCTTCCTGTTCCACGTTACACCCCGCTTTTACACCACTAGAATCTCCTCTGGAGAGTCCCCAGTCCTTGAGGGCTGTTCTGCATATCAAGGCAGAAAGAGTCAGATCCTTAACCTGAAATTTTTTATTGAAAGCATGATTTTCTAATATTTTTACAGGATTCAGTGTGGATTGGTGGGCCCTTGGGGTCCTCATGTTTGAAATGATGGCAGGAAGATCTCCCTTTGATATTATTACCGACAATCCAGATATGAACACTGAAGATTACCTCTTCCAAGGTATTTTTATCTAATGAGACTGACAGATTTGTACCCAACAAGATGGTCTGGTACGCTTGCTAGAGTGTTCAGATCCAGAATAAGGTTTCACTTAAGATCAAAATCAAAATTATTTTGAAAACAAAATTCAACCTCTTATATAGTTGCTAAGAAATCCTGAACTGGGTCAAAATCATATATCCAGCTGGCTTTCCTAATGCTTCTTGAAATGAAAATGTAGGACAGATAGAAAAATGCTCTATTCAATATTTATCTAGCCAAGAATTGTCTGCTGGGGCTAGCAGACTTCATCTTGAACTTTTACACACCAGCTACTGATTTTTTAATACTTCATATTCTTTATTTAGGACTGAAGATTTCTTTATTTAATATGGAAGATTATTCAGTACATCCTTCCTCCAGATTTTGCTAATTTCTAAAAGGTGAAAAGGATCGCTCTGGGTAGAATTGGCTTTTGAATTGTGCCAAGGAGTGAACAGGGAGCCCATGTACTGTAGTTACTTCAGCACCACAATTACCATGCTGATATTAGCACAATCCCATTAATTAAAAGAGGTATCAGGTTGTGGTTTAGTTTTTGGTTTCTGCATAGACTTCAAAGGGAGCCTAATACGAAGTGCTTGACATAAGTTCAGCTTACGGAGTCCTGAAAGATCTACCAAAGGGGTCAGATGTTCATACACTAGGAAGCACCTCCTGTTGAAATACTAGCTGATGTTGGTAGAAGGCATTCTTGTTAAGGCTGCTTCTTGAAATTCTGGGGCTGCATCAGATTTTTAAATATCCTTCTTGACTGTATTGTTGCCATATAGGTCTTATCTGAGTGTGCCAGCAGTTCGGCACTCATTAATTAAAGGTGTCTAAAACACTGAATCTCTTTCTATTCAGCTTTAGTTTAAAAACTGTAGCTCACCATGGTTCTTTCCTTATTTGATCCGGTAATATCTCTTCACCAATTACAGCCCTGCCTCCATCCCTACATAGTCTTCAGTTAGTCCATCTATATGGTCCATGTTAGTACAAATTTTCATAGGTAGTAAAACCTCAGCGTCCGTTAAATCCAAATGTCTGTTAAATGGGAATTTGTCATCTGTGACAATTTCTATAATTTGAGTAATTATGCAAGTGACATAAATGGCATCATTTGCAGTAACCTCGATTTAACAGGCAAAACCCTCCATTTAATAGTCTGTTAAATGAGGGTGAAGCTGGAGAGGAAATTGTGTTGTGTTTGAAGTCCGCTAAACCAGGGGTTTAATGTACTGATATATTGGAGAATATAATGTGTTCTCTTTCCAAAACTCCTTTTAACAGTTATCCTTGAAAAACCAATCCGAATTCCACGATTCCTTTCTGTTAAGGCCTCTCATGTTTTGAAAGGATTTTTAAATAAGGTAGGTCTATAATATTTTGTCTTTTGGTTTTCTCACCAATTAAGCACAAAACCACTTTTTGGCTCTCTGCCCCCTCTGTTAGCCATGCTGCCACTGCTGCTGTCTGAGCTTGTTAAATATTTCTGTTTTTAAGAAAACAGTTTTTTAGGAGCAAACACAAGTTGTGGTTGGTTCATTTATTAAGGCATGAAGGGTACAATAAATTGTCTAAATCTTTCTCTTTTTATTTAATTTGTATCAATTATATACATTTGAACTTTTATAGTGAAATATGATATATTGTCATAAACCTTGTTGACTCATAAGTAATTGCAGATGAATTCAGCAGAATGTGTCCTCTGGCTGAATTCACAGGCCATGCTAAGCTATAATGCAGTTCATTTTGTTGTAGCTGATTTGTTGTGTGACTGTGGTTTATTCATTAAACCTTGTTTTGAACAGTGTGTGAACCAGAGCAAAACACGCTAAGAAAATTTGCAAAGCGTAAATAGGGAGATAGAGTTGCTAGATAAGCTTAGAAGAAGGAAAGTTTGTTTGTTTTTAAAAAATCTTGTCTTCACACTTTGGCCTCACACGTCTGTCATTTAGTAAGGGGAAAATTAATTTTCTTCTTCTTCTTAGGATCCCAAAGAGAGGCTTGGATGCCAACCCCAAACAGGATTTTCTGAGATCAAGTCACACACATTTTTCCGCAGCATAGACTGGGATCTGGTAAAGTATTTTTTTTTCTTCAGTTGTATGCATGTGTATATGAGCCATTCTTGTGCACCTGCTAAATAATCTTGGTAGAAGTCACTTTTGCAAATGGGCAATTCTTTCAAAAAGGGGGCGTGTCACTTACGGGAGGGGGAAGGATGGGCCAGTGATGTCACATGTATCATAATGCCATCTGCTAAGATCATTTGTGTCATTTGTGTGAGAACATCAAGGATCATGTGATATTATAATTTACTACAAACACCGGTGACCTAGCAGAATGAGTGAGGAATAATAGTATAGAATGGTCAGGCTGTTTTTATCATTCTGGTTATTCAGTTAGACCCACTATAAATCAGCCTAAAGCTTTGCAAAACCCTTCAGTCAAAGGACTAGCTCCCACATTGGGCAAACCTAGTTCTTCTTCATTTTGTGGGAGTTTCTCTTTCTCTTCTCCCCATCTTTCCACACTCCCCTCAGATCTGCTTGGGGATGGTGCCTGAGCTTTTAAGGACAACTAGGAGAACCCAGTGTTTGGCAAGATCTAAGTTGGTGCTGGAAGGGTGTTGGGTGGATGCAGAATCAGAATTATAGAGTCTGATTCTGTTTTGTTTGCTGATGTGCAGAAGCCTCCATTGTCACCTGAGATGGGACATCAAACCATTGTTAAGCTATCCAGTCCTCAGTTGATACATTTGCCTATTCTTTGATTCTGTGAGTCAAAGAATGAGGAGGAGCAAAATTCCCCTGTTCTCTTTCAAAGCCAATTTGACGGGAGGTTGTCAACAAGGAGCTGTTGTCAGGTGGCTAGATGGGCTTAGAAGACATCCATGGTTTCAGATCCGCGCTCAGCTGTGGAACTCCTTGGATGACCCTGAATCTGTCACTGTATTTCAAGGATAAAATGGGACGGCCACAGGTCCCTTGGAGAAAGACAGAGTCAGCAGGTGTTAAATGACAAATGGTCATGAAGGCTTTCTCACTTGCTCAAATTACACAGCAGCACCGACAGACGTGCGACCTTAGTTCCAAGTCTGAACAACTAGTTTCAATGCAGAGAATGTGTACATGTCCTGCACGCTCTGTAAGTTCTCCAGAAATGCGCAAGGAACCAGGACATTCATTCTGCTGCCTGACGCCCAGGGAAGAAGCTTGAGATTATAAAGGAGAGATGGAGATCTCTCTTGTCAGATAGCGTTTGATTTCACTTCTCACCACTTTGATCGCTTACAAGTTCAGAATTAATCCAAGTAGCTTTTTCCTTGCTTGTTAAATTCAGTGTTTGTTATCCATAAAAAGTCAAGGCAGATAACCAGCTTTAAAAAAAAAGCTGTTGTTTTGAGGGATGTGATTCTCTGACTTCACTCTAGGCAAGCAACCTGGGCTCCTTGGATGTTTTGAACTACAACTCCATAATCCTCAGCCACCATTGAGAGGATGGGAGAGTCAGTATGATACATCTGACAGGCTTGCAGACTATATATATATGAATGTTTAACTCTGATGATCCAGGTCTGCTAATGAAAATTCTTAACTTAGTGCCTTTTTAGCTTTTGGATGGTATAATTGTTAAATAATTATTGGTTTGCCCCCCCCCTTTTTTTATTTTGGTGGTTGAAAAGAGGAGTTTGAGATATTACATGCCACAGGGATTCTCCCCCCGCTCCAAAAAATGGCCAAGAACCTGAGAAAATACTTCATTTTGAAGGCTGTGTTTACATGACAAAGACACAAGAGATTTTTGCTTGGCTCCTGAAGTACATTCTTTTTGTTTAACAGCTAGCATTATTTCCTGCAAGTTTGATGTGCTTCAGAAATTATTTAAACCATTTTCAGATGTATCTATTTTATTTTTATTACCTCCCATAATTGCAGATATTAGATAACATTAGACTGGCTATTAGGGAACAAATGAGGATGAGGATGATGGAAAACTCTTTGCAAAAGATGATGATGTTCCAGAAAGAATATCTGTGTCAGTGCGTTGAGGCAAAAATGATAGGAACATTTTTGGCTCCTTAAAAATGAATGCCTCAATTCAGTTATACGCTTGTTGAGGTTAGAGTTCACCTCATAGATGCAGCACTAAAGATGTGAAGCCTTTAGTGGAGAAAACCAAACTTGCAAAGTAACACAGGGAAGCCTATGAATTATAATATCTGGGGAACATTTTCTCTTTTAGAATGACTGAAACGTTTATAAGGGCAAATTTGTACTTTCTCAAAATGTGTTGTAGGAAGGAGTAAAGTAATGTGAATCCCAAGACTGGGTGGTATCAAAATTCTCTCTTGCCCAGATGAATTCTTCATTTTAATTGTAAGCCGCCCAGCGTTACCCTCTGGGGGAGATGGACGGCATATCAACTTAATAATAAATGAAAATAATAAAAATAGATTTCTAGACCTGATTTCTAGGTTTTGACAGACACAGCCTGTTCCTGGCTCCCCTCGGTATTGATCAGAAGCAGAAAGGGTCCTCAGAAGACATGGACAAAATATGCTGCACTGCAGTGTTAGAAGACTCCCAACGCTGACCTTGGAATGCCTGTTTCGCTGGCTATAGGATGTTAACTAGCTGGGGGTTAATTTAGTGTCTTTTTCGTAATACATCATCTCCACTCTTTCTCTCCTTTTCGCCCTGCTCTCGACTCAGCTGGAAAAGAAGCAAGCCACCCCACCATTTCAGCCTCAGATCACAGATGATTATGGCTTGGATAACTTTGACACCCAGTTCACCAGTGAACCGGTGCAGCTGACTCCAGATGATGAGTATGTGTCATTGTTAAATACGTGGTTAAGAAATGTAGCATTCAGTCAGAGGTGGGAAAGGACCTTGGAGAGATCTCGTCCGACTTTTTCTCAATGCAGGATTCCCCACTTAAACTGAAGGAATGCCCCCCCCGCAAGACCACCTCTTCCATTGTGAAAGAACTATGCCGGTTGGGACTTCTTTCCTGAAAAATTGCAGGAAATTGGTTATGCTTCCTTGCCATTGAAGCCCCTGGCTTCTCGCTTTGTCTTCAAGAACAGGGTTCCTCAACCTTAGCAACTTTAAGATGGGTGGACTTCAGCTCCCAGAATTCCCCAGCCAGCATGGCTGGCTG